TACTACCAACCCCCCCACGTACTCGACCCGCTCACACTGCCGGCGCCTCTCCACCTGGACACGCGCCTCTCAACCTGCACGCGCCTCTCTCACCTGCACGCGCCTCTCTCACCTGCACCCGCCCTCTCTCACCTGCACCCGCCTCTCTCACCTGCACGCGCCCCTCGCCATCCAGCAGCAGCAGTGGCGGTCGCGGATCATCTCGCGAATCACCCCCCTGCCCTCCACCTCCCCTCTCCCCCTCGCTGCACACGCGCACCGCAACACGCGGCCCGCCCAGGGGCGAGGCATGGCGCATGCACTGCAGAGAGCGGCGGGTGGGAGGGAGGGCAGAGTAGGAAGAGAGGGGGCAGGAGAAGGGCTGGCTAGAAGCAGCGGGTGGCAGGGGCTGGTATAGAGGCGCGCATGCAGCTGTGAAAGGGCTGGTGCCCCGGCAAGCTTGCTTGTGCATGACTCCATGGCACAGGCAGGAGGGAACGAGGCGAGAAGGCGACGGGCGAGGTGGGAGCACCTGGAGGAAGTGAGCTGTGTCATGCGGCCACGAGGAGAAGCGATACAGCGGCTGCCACTGCGCCTCCTCCTCACAAGCGGCCCTTCCCCCATGCTGCCTGCTTGCCATCTGCTGCTGCCCCATCTCTCGCCTGCTTCACTGGGCCCCACGCGGCACAGCCGCTCCACCACATACCACTGCTCGCCTGCCCTCACCGCTGCTGCTGATGCTGCCTGTCCTCCTGCAGCATGCGTGAGCCGCGGTGGGCACGGTGGTCCCGTGGCCACGCACACCCTCCGTGTAGAAGTCATCATCATCATCGGGGTCTGAATCTGAATGTGCCTCCCCGCCAGCACTCCTCTCACCCATGCGCCCATCCATTCCTGCCTCTACGTGCTCCACTGCCCACCCCTGCACGCCTCTTTCTACTGCCCTCCATCCCTCCCTGCCCTGTCCGCTGCTGCTACTGCTGCAACTGGCTTCTCCCAGCCGTCTGCTGTGCATGCAGGCGCCACACTGACAGCCCCCGCACCTCGTCCACGCACCCAAGGGGCTGCACCGGCAGGTGCTGGCGGGTGGGGCGGGGCGCATGGGGATATGCGGTACACCCCCGCGTCCTGGTGCTGTGGGGGAGAGGGGTGGTGGGATAGAGAGGTGGCATGGAGAGGAAACGCTTGGGTGAGGAGAGAGAATGGGTGGGAGTGGGAATCGCACATCACATCACAGCAAGGAATGGAGGGACGTGTGTAATGAATGGAGATGGGAGGCGAGGGGAAGGAGGGGCCTGCCTGGTGGATGGCGGTTGGAAGAGCAGTGGCTCCAGGAACATGGGGTGGGGCAAAAGGCTGCTGGGGCAGCAGGGCGTGCTGACGTCAGCGAGCCATGCCATGCCGTTGATGTGCACCAGCAGACACATCTGCATGCGGGAGGGGGGAAGGAATGGGGGTGGTAGGACAACGCATGGTGAGAGGGCATGTGCATGAATGAAAACACATGAGTAGGTGGGTGGGTTGTTCGTTGGGTGGGTGGGGTGGGTGTGTAGGTGGGTGGGTGGGTGTGTGGGTACAGGACAGTACGGGATAGGAAGAGCCAAGTCACCGAGTGAGATGGCTCACTCACGTCGTACATGATCTGCCAGCTCTGCACTTGCTGATGAGGCAGCTGCACGAGCTGACTGGACAGGCTGCTGCGCTGAGTCAGCAGGAGATGAGAGGCGAGCCACGCAGGCAGCCGCATGATCTGACGATGGCGCCGCTGCAGGGGAGGCAGCATTCAAAGTAGCAGCCGGTACAGGTGGTTGACGAGAGGAGCGACAGGAGGAGGACGGAGGGGAGTGGTGGTGGCGGGGCGAGTGTGGCGAGTGGCAGGAGAGGGCGGGAAGGAGGTCGACCTGGCAGGCGAGGTGGTGGCGGAGCACCCACGCCAACAGCACGTTGGACTGCCCGTGCACGCACACAGGAGGTGGGGGGGGTGGGAAGGAACGGTGATTGGATAGGGGTCAGCTTACGGGGGCCCGTGGTGCTCTGCGCGGCCTTAACAGCTCCTCACAGGCCCTGCGGTGTGGCGTGGGTGAACAGGACGAGGGCGTAGGTGCAAGCGGGAAGGAGTGTTGCAAGCTGGCGTGCGGGAGAGGTGAGTGAGGCAGGACGGTGAGGGTGAGGCAATGGGATATGGTGATATGCTGCGAGCGACGAGCAGCATGTGGCGTTCTCGAAGACTCCCTCGCCATTTCTGCATCATCAACATCACAGCATCATCAACATCACAGCATCGCAACATGCATTTCCATGCCGTACTTCGCGCCCCTCCCCATGTCCGCGCCTCATGCGAGCATGCCCCTCACACCCGTCGCGGCGTCACCTCCCGTGGCGCCCCCCGTCACCTGGAAGCACGAAGCCCCCTCACCTGGAAGCACGAGGCCCCCGCGCTGAGAGCACACCATCTTGCGGTACAGCGCGCGCACGCCCAGCGCTGCAGGGCTGTCCGCCACGGGCCTGCTGCAGTGCAGTGGGCACGCCACACACGCAGAGGGGAAGGGGGGCGCAGGAGGCTGTGAGCGACAGAGTGCGTGCAGCATGGCATCTGAAGTGCATCGCCCGCACGTCCAGCGCGGCAGGGCTGTCCGCCTCACCGGGCCTTCATGCCGCATGGAAGCCGCGGGACACAAGCGCCACACAGCAGACACAAGCGCCACACAGCAGACACAAGCGCCACACAGCAGACACAAGCGCCACACAGCAGACACAAGCGCCACACAGCAGACACAAGCGCCACACAGCAGACACAAGCGCCATACTTTGAGCGTGGGTGAGAACACACAGCAGCCATCCGCGCAACACGCTGCAGGCGGCGGGGGTCGGGGTGGAGGGCAGACGGCATTGGCGATGCGCGAGAAACGGGTATGCGGGCGAGGGCCGGGGGTGAGGTGGGTGGAGCGGGTTGGTGTTGACGGTGGTGGAAGGGAACGACTTGCTGAAAAGGAAGGCATCTCACGAGAGCACGTCCAGAGGAATGTTCCTCGCATGTTCCTCATGCAGCTGCCGAAACAGCCCCACGACGTCCTCTCCCCACGCCTCCCCCCTCCCCCGTCTTCCCCGGCCCCTCCGCCTCCCTCTCCCCTCACCGTCCCCCACATTCCGCCCGCCACCCCCCCCGGCGCACACCCCCGCCGGTAGGGGTCAAGGCGCGCGGGCAGCGGGCCGGCGTGGCGCAAGCGGAGAAGGTAGCCGCGGAGCATCTTGAGCGGCGAGGGGCCTTCCGACTGCTCGTGCGCGTCCCATGAGCGCGTCGCGTGCATGCCGGTGCGACCGTTGCGGCGCCGGGGGGTGCGAAGTCACCGAGTGGCGCGATTTCACGATTCGTAGCATGCGAGCGGCAGGGAAGCTGGGCTTGATGCAAATGGGACGGGGATCGCACAAGGTGTGAGGGGGACAGGAATCTTTGTGGGAGGGCGGGTACGCTGTTGGCTTTTGGATTGACCCACCATTATTAGGCTCATTACGCTGTCAAAGAGTGTTGGTCTGTCGACTAATCTAGAATGTGTATTATAACAGCTCCCCTAACTCTCTTTGTGGCATAAACATCCAATACAAATATGACACAAATCGATGTAATCTGCTTACTTCAAGCAGAGTCTACATCACGGTGCTTGTTGAAATAACCTCAGAATTAAATGGATATGATAACGATGTCAGAAACTAATAATTTATATGCTGTAGGCTGTAGTGGAGCACTCCTTATGGGGTACAGTCCAATTAGGTTTTGCATATACAAACCCTGTATTGCTGTCATTCTAGTCATTCTTGATTTCTACTTTCTGACATGGTTTAAGAGCAGGTTCCCTAGTGGGAACGTTTTCTTTTAGACCCCACCACGATAATTTTTTTTTTTCCTACCCTGCCCGAAGCACGCCCTCGCGCCTGCCTCACCTACACCGTCACGCGGCCCTGCCCTACTGCAGCTCGTAGCGGCCCTGCCCTCCCGGCCCGTCGCGGCCCTGCCCTGTCGCCGCAAGTCGTGGCCTGACCCAGCCGCCAGTCGCGGCCTGACCCAGCCGCCCATCACGGCCCTGCCTTGCCACCACCCGTTGTGGCCGTGCCTTCAACCGCTCGTCGCGGCCCTGCTCTACCGCCGCCCCGTCGCGGCCCTGCCCTGCAGCCGCCCTGTCGTGGCCCTGCCCTGCTGCCGCCCCGTTGCGGCCCTGCCTTGCTACCACCTCGTCACGACCCTGTCATGCAGCCGCCCTGTCGCGGCCCTACCTTGCTGCCGCCCCGTCGCGGCCCTGCTCTGCCGCCTCGTCGCGGCCCCGCCCTAACCGCCAGTCGCGGCCCTGCACTGCACCCGCCACTGGTAAGCGCTAGCCCTGCCAAGTGCGCCGCTGCGCCCGCCTGCCTGCCGCGCCGCGCCGCCCAGCCGAGCTGCGCCGCCCTGCTGAGTCGCGCCGCTCTGCCGAGCCGCGCCGCCCTGCCGAGCCGCGCCGCCCTGCCCTACTGCTACTACTGTGCTACTGCCGCCATGGCTAGCCCTACTGTTCTTACCTTCGATGCTAAGGGTCGTGCGGTCGATTTCGAAGTTTGGGTAGATGACCTGCAGCTCAACCTTCAATGCAACTCTAGGGACAGAGTCTCGCTTTTCGATCACACGTTCGGCGCCTCTCTTGTACCTGCTTCCGATGCTGACAGTACGGTTCGCTCGCAGTGGACTACTCGTGACGCTGTTGCTCGCCTTGCTGTTTGTAGTCACCAGCCGTCTGTTGAGCGCGCGCACTTTGGCCAGTACAAGACTGCTAAGTCTTTGTATGATGTCGTTGTCGCACGCTACTCCTCCCCTGCCACTGCTGCCCTCAGTCGCCTCATGATGCCGTACTTTGTTCCCTGACCTGGCCACCTTTGCCACAGTCGCTGACCTCATCACTCACCTCCGCACTAGTCACACCCGCTACACCGCTGCGCTTCCCTCCGAGTTTCGCGCCAAAATCCTCCCCCCCCCCCATGTACATCACCCTCTTCTACCTCGTCACCCGTCTCCCTAACTCTCTTCGCTCAGTCAGGGACCACTTTCTCTCCCTTTGCCACACCGAGCTCACCGTCAACCTACTCGAGGAGCGCCTCACTGCATCTGAGACTAGCATAGTTGCTGTACGAGCTTCTCGCGGCGACCCTCGCGCCCCTTTTTTTGAGGGGTGTTACCCCGTTCCCCTTTTGCCCTCTGTTGCTTCTGCTGCTGCTGTCGACCTCGTTGGCATCAAGGAGGTCAGGGCTGCGTCTGCTCCTAGTGGGAGGCGCCGCAGCGGCAAGGGCAAGGGGGACAACGGTGGTGGAGGGGACGGCGGGGGCGGCGTTGGTGGCGGTGGAGGAGGTAGAGGGGGTGGGGGTGGAGGTGGACGTGGGGGCGGGAGTGGGGGCGTCGGTGGCGGCGGTGGAGGTGGGGGCGGCAGCGGCAGCGGCAGCGGCAGTGGAGGTGGCGGCGGCGGTAGTGCTGGTCGGGGTGGAGCCGCGTAGCGTGGAGGCTTTGATGGTAGCCAGCGACAGCAGTAGTCATGTTCGCGTGAGGCCCCGTTGCCCTAGCAGCTTCGTGACTGGTACACAGGGCATGGGAGGTCTTGGGGTGCTGGTCCCTGCGCTTACGTTCTCCGCACCGGCGAGCTCCGTGGGGAGATGTGCGGGCTGCCACACGCAACGCAGCGTTGTTTCGATTGCCTATCTGATGCCTGGCGTGCACTATTTCCTGACGCCACAGAGCTCCCTCGCTGGGTTGATCTGCTTAAGTCTGGTATTGCAATCTTTGATATTAATTACGATGCTATTCTTGCTGCCATGTATGCTGTGACTATAAGTGCTAAGGGTGACTGTTACCTGTGTATGCTGCCTGACCTAGGTATAGAGGCTGCTGCTCTAGGTGCTAGTGAGTCTGCTCCTCCAAGTACTAGTGAGTCTGCTCTCTCAGGTACTGCCTTGCTGAGGCCTTGCACACCTTCACGCTGGACTATGGTGCTTCCCGCTCCTTCTTTCGCGACACCACCACACTTACGCCGCTCAGTCGACCGGTTGCTGTCTCCCTGGCGGACCCCTCTTGGGGCCCAGTCCTTGCACACTCCTCTACAGTTCTACCGTGTCCAGTGGTCCCGTCTGGCTCATTGTCGGGTTTTCACCTCCCCTTGTTCTCAAAAAACTTGGTGAGTAGAGCTGACCTCTAGGATGTGTGGGTTGACCAGTTCACTCCTGTAGGTCAGCAGGTTACCCACTGTTCGTATACTCGGACAGGCCGCCACCTGGCCACGTTCACCCGTCGGCCTCGGTCGAGCCTGTACACACTGACTGCTATGTCTCCTCCGTTTGCTGAGTCTAGTCAGATGTTTGCTGCCGCGTCCACGTCTGGTCCGGAGTTTGCCCCTGCTCGTGTCGTCTCCTGTCACACCAAAATCTCCTTAACACCACCGCCTTGGTCACCCTCCCTGCCTCGACTCCGAGGTATGGCCTCCCATGTCCTTGTTACTGGTCTCCCCCGTTCTCTCCCTCCCCTCCCCCTGGGGCCTGCCCCTACCTGCGTTCCTTGCGTATAAGGACGGCAGCGCCCCGCTCCTCACTTCTCTGAGTTCCCTTCGACGGAGGCTCCCCTGCTGACTCTCCACATGGACGCTGTGGGGCCCAACCCGCGTCCGTGGACAGGATCACGAGCGTTACTTTCTGCTGGTCGTTGACGACTACTCGCATTACACCACAGTCTTCCCCTTGTGTCGAAAGGGTGAGGTCACCGAGGTGCTGATCATCTGGATCCGCGCTGCCCGTGGCTAGCTCAGCGAGAGTTTTGACTCGAACATTCCTGTTCTGCGTCTGCACTCTGACCGAGGTGGAGAGTTTTCCTCCAACCTTCTGCAAGCCTTCTGTCGTGTGGACGGCATCCGCCAGACCTTCACGCTTCCGGTCTCCTCACAGCAAAATGGGATTGCTGAGCGCCGCATTGGCATGGTCATGGACGTTGCTCGTACGTCCATGATCCATGCGGCTACTCCCCGTTTTCTATGGCCGTTCGCAGTTCAGTACGCTGCGCATCAGCTCAACCTCCTGCCACTTGTCTCCATGCCGGAGACCATACTTACTCTGCGGTGGACGGGGAAGGTTGGCGATGCGTCTCCGTTCCGTGTCTGGGGATCTTTAGCTTTTGTCCGCGATTCTTCCGTGGACAAGCTTTTGCGCGCCGAGAGCCTGGGGGTGCTGAGCCTGGGGGTGCTAAGTCTGAGGGTGCAGAGCCTGAGGGTGCTGAGCTTGAGCATGCAGAGTCTGGGGGTGCTAAGCCTGAGCGTGCTGAGCTTGGAGGTACTTCTTCGTGTGGAGGTCCTACGGGTATCTTGTCATGGCGGGAGCCACTCTCTCCACCGCTGCTGCGCGAGTGGTTTGCTCGTCGCTGGAGTCATGCTGCTGGAGCCGGGGGGCCTACCATTAGAGGTGCTACTGGTGCTGTAGCTGCTGGAGGTGCTGGAGGCGCCGGTCCCAGAGGTGCTCGTACTGGAGGTACTGGAGCTGCTGAGGCTAGTGGTGCTGCAGGAGCTGGAGGCGCTAAGGCTGTTAGTGCTGCGGGAGCTGCTGGAGATGGAGCTGCTTCGAGGTGTTGGAGCTGGTGGTGCTGCAAGAGTTGGAGTTGGAGACCCTGGAGCTGGGGGTACTGGTGCTGTCTTTGCTGGTTCTAGAGGTGCTGCGCGGCCGAGGCCGTACTTCGTTCCACTCCTTCAGTAGGTTCTTGGTCTCCTGCCTTCTTCTGGTCCTACTCCTCCCTTACTGTATCCGCCGCCTGACCATTCGCAGCCGCAGTTACAACTAGCTTCCCCACTGCATGGTCCTTCTCCTTACACTACGCCGACTGGAGGTTTTGCGGAGCGACGTGAGCATGCGTCTCGTCTTGCGTGTCAGAACATGATTGCTTACACATCTGTGTAGGTTGTAGTGGGGTAGCCCATAAGGGGCACAACCCAATTAGGGTTAGTACTTGTACCCAACTATTTCATAGCTCAATCATTCTCGTTCTAATTCTTACATGGTATCAGCAGGTTCCCCCATGGGAACTATTCCTAGGACCCACCGACCTTTTCTTTCCTGCCCGGAGCGCGCTTGGCCCCTGCCCGAGTCGCGCCCCATGTGACTCCCCTTCGTGGCCTCTAGCGGCCTCCCTCATGGCCCCTAGTGGCCTCGTCGCGCACCGACACCTCTTTGCCGCCATTCTACATCCTCGTGTACATGGACAACTTGGTCTTTGCCACTGCTGACTCTGCTGGACTTGCCCACGTGAAGTCCGAGCCGCGGAAGAGACACATGTGCACAGACCTGGGTGAACTGCGCAGCTACCTTGGCTTGCAGATCACCCGGGATAGAGCACAGCGCACTATTACCCTGAGTCAGTCACACATGGTGCAACAGGTCCTTCAGCGCTTCGGCTTCACGTACTCCTCACCTCAGGCCACTCCTCTGTCTACTCGCCACTTGCTCTCAGCTGTGCCTTCGGATGACTCCATAGTGCAGAGTGGCCCGTACCCAGAGCTTGTTGGCTGCCTCATGTACCTGATGACCTGCACACGACCTGACCTTGCATACCCTCTTAGCATCTTGGCACGCTATGTTGCTCCTGGGAGACACCGACCAGAGCACATGGCTGCAGCGAAGAGGGTGTTGCGCTACGTGTGCACTACGTCGGGCATGGGGCTAGTGCTTGGAGGGCGATGTCGAGTGGTCCTCACAGGTCACGCTGACGCTTCTTGGGCTGACGACCAGCCGACACAGCGGTCGTCACAGAGTTACACCTTCAGCCTTGGCTCCAGCTCTATTTCGTGGCGGTTACCCGCTCGTCTTCTGTTCTCGGCTCCTGCTGTGAGGCTGAGATCTACGCGGGGGCCATGGCTGCATAGGAGCTACACTGGCTCACCTACCTGCTGACTGACCTAGGAGAGCCGCCTTGTTCTCCTCCAGTTCTCTACGTAGACAACAAGGCCATGCTGGCGTTGTGTCGGGAGCACAGACTGGAGCACAGAACGAAGCACATTGCTCTCCGCTACTTCTTGGCTCGTGAGCTGCAGTTGCGTGGTCAGCTCCGCCTCACCTACGTGGCCTCTGAGGCCAACACTGCTGATATCTTCACCAAGGCCCTTTCGTCTTGTGATCATCAGCGCTTCTGTACTTTGCTAGGTGTTGTGCCTACCTGGCCTCACTTGCTCACTTCTTGATCTTGTTTGTACTTTACTCTTTCTATACCTGCACTTGCTTGTTAACCTGCATATATATGATCTTGCATGTGAACTGGCCTTGTGGCGTTGCTCTTGTGCTCGGACTGTGTGGTGACTTTGTGATCCACCCTGAGCTTGCTTTGCTTTGCTTGACTGGTCTTGTGACCACTTGTTCTCCCCCACTTTGCCTATGGGGGTGTGTCAAAACATTATAGCTTATACATGTGTGTAGGCTGTAGTGGTGTAGCCCATAAGGGGTACAACCCAATTAGGGTTATTACTTGTACCCAACTGTTTCATAGTTGAAGCATTCTCATTATAATTATCACATTGCGTCGCCTGTACACGCTGCTCGCTCTGGTCGTGTACCGAGTCCGTGTCCTCCTATCCCTGGTACGCACCAGATGGCACTTCGTCCTTCCTCTGTTCCACTACGTGTCCCTCTGCCGTCTCCTCCTGCGTCCTTTCTTACTTACAGTCTGGACCCAGATTCTGACTCGCTTCGTGCTGCCAGCCCTACTGTCTTGCGTCTGCTAGCTACTGCTGTCACCGACCCTTCGTGTGGGTCTACTACTGTGTCTGCTCTTGTTGCTGAGCTTGTCGACTTTGCTGCCACCTGTCGTGTCAAAGTTATATACAGGTTTGATCCTGCTTGCTGTAGTTACTGTAGTTATTGTTCTTTGCTATTGGTGGTGCACCTCTTGTTTGTGTTTCTCAACTATATCTTGTATGCTTTGCTTTAGTGAAGCTAACTTGTTTGGTCAATTTCTCTTGACACTCCCTTGGCCTTGACCTCAACAATAGTTTGGCCTAGGCTACCAAGCCTAGGCCCTTCGTAAACCCGGTTACCAGCTACGATAGTGTTTTGACATGGTATTGAGCTACTAAGATCCTACTCCTAGGTGAATGGGCCCACCACCAGCTATCGATATGACGCGCCCCATCGACCAGGTCGTTGCGCAGCCCGTTACGTGCATCGCTGGCCCGTCACTCGCCCGTCGCCCCACCGGCTCGAGGTCCTGCTGCTGCTGCGCTAGCGACGACGAGCTGCGCGAGGGCGCTCGTCGCGCCCCACCGTTACGGCCCCCCCAGTTCACATGCGGGCCCGCGAGCAAGAGAGACAGCGGATCCATGGACCCGTCTTCAGCGAGCGAGCCAGCGGACCCGCGAACCCGCCTTCAGCAAGCCCGCCGACGGACCCGCCGACGGGCTCGTCACAGGGCCCGCCGATGGACCCGCTGTCGGACCCGCCAACGAGATCGCCAGCAAGCCCGCCTTTGACCCGCCACCCGCACCCGCGCGACTCGTTCCTTCCCCGCTTGCATCTGCCGCGCCAGCTACTACCGTTTCATCTAGTTCCTGGCGCCCCACTTGGAACCCGATGCCCCACCTCTACCCGGCCGCTTGCCCATCTCCCCCCAACCCCCCCCCCCCGTCGCAACTGTTCGCATGTGCAGCGGCGGTCGCTGTGGGTGAGAGAGGGAGGACGGGAAGGGATTGGCGGCCCAACCAACGTGCCAGCCAGCTCGCACCCCGCCCATCTCCCGTACGCCACCCGCATCTGCACGACCCGTCCCTGCCCCGCCTGCATTTGCCGCGTCAGCAACTGGCGTTTCATCCCGTACCCGCACTTTCCCTGCCCCTCCCCGTCCCTCCCTCGTCGCGCCTTCCCCCTCTACCACGCCTGCCTATGCCGTGTTGGGCGGTGGTGGCTTTGGAGGACAGTGGGGGCGGCGGCGGCGGGAATGGCGGGAGTGGCGGGGTTGGCGGCTCATGTGGGGGGGTGGGGGAGGCGTGGGGGATAGGGGTGGTGGGCGCCTGTCAGCAGTGAACGCCACCGCAAGCACCAGAACTGCCGCCAACGCCTACCGCGCGTCCATCTTCCCTTCCCCCCCTCCCTGTCGCCTTCACTACCGGGACTGCAGCTGTTGAGGGGGGAGTGACATGGAGGGGGTGATCAAACTGCAGCAATTGTCGCCACACCTCCTCCTCTCTCTCTCTGCCGCTGTTGCTGCTGTGGGGGGGAGGTATAGGGGGTGTGGGTGGCAGTTGCTGCAGCTGGAACATCCACCCACACCCCCTGAACCTCCCCCCCACAGCACCACCAGCACCAGATCCAGGTCCAGCTGCCAGCACTAGCACCAGCTCCAGGGCCAGCCGCCAGCACCAGCACCAGCTCCAGGGCCAGCCGTCAGCACTAAGCACCAGCTCCAGGGCCAGCTGCCACCACCAGCACCAGCTCCAGGGCTAGCCGCCAGCACCAGCACCAGCTCCAGGGCCAGCCGCCAGCACCAGCACCAGCTCTAGGGCCAGCCGGCAACACCAGCACCAACTCCAGGGCCAGCCGCCAGCACCAGCACCAGCTCCAGGGTCACCCCGCCAGCAGAGAACCCCGCCAGCAGAGAACCCCGCCAGCAGAGAACCCCGCTAGCAGAGAACCCCGCCAGCTGAGAACCCCGCCAGTAGAGCACCCCGCTAGCAGAGCACCACCCTCTGCCCTGCCTCTCCCCTCCCGCGGCTGCTACTATGGGGGGTAGGTGGCAGGGACGGGGGGGTGGGAGGGCTGGCTGCCGTGTGAAGGACAGGGCAGAGACAACTGTGAGTGGGGCATGGGGTGTGGAGGAAGGAAAAGGAAGGGAGGGAGGGGGTGCGGTTCCAGGGGGCAGATGAAATGGGGGGTGAGGTTGAAGGAGGGTGGTTGATTGGGGGTGGGGATGTGGGGGTTAGTAAGAGGGGACGCTGCGGCCACCCCCTCACCTCCTCTCCTCTCGGCGGGAGCCACTCTCTCCACATCAGCTGCGCGAGTGGTTTTCTCGGCGCTGGAGCCATGCTGCAAGAGCTGGTGGTGCTACGTGCGCTGTAGGTCCTGCTGCTGTTGGAGCTGCTAAGGGTTCTGAAGCCGCTAGTCCCGGAGGTGCTAATCATGGAGGTACTGGAGCTGCTGGGCCTGGTGGTGCTGCTGGGGCTGGAGCTGGCGGTGCTGCTGGAGCGGGTGCTGCTAGAGCCACTAGAGCTGGCGCTCCTTGAGCTGCTAGGCCTTCTAGTGGTTCTGGTGGAGCTGGTGCTGCTGGAGGTGCTCGCGCTAGAGGTGCTGCTGGAGCCGGTGCTCCTGGGGGTGCTGGATATGGCGCTGTTGGAGCTGCTGGAGGTGCTGCTCGAGCTGGTGGTGCTGCTGGAGTTGGAGCTGGCGCTAGGGGTGCTGGTGCTGTCCCTCCTAGTTCTGGAGGCGCTACTCAGCCGCGGCCAGTACTTCGTTCCGCTCCTTGAGCACGTTCTTAGTGTTCCGCCTTCTACTGGTCTTGCTCCTTCCTTAGATTGTCCACCCTGTCCACCCTTCCTTTCTTAGTCCTACTGTCACGCGTCTCCTGGCCACCGTTGCCTCTGACCCTTCCTTTGACTCCACTGCTGCGTCTGCCTTAGTTGCTGAACTTGTCGACTTTGCTGCTCACTGTCATCTAGACTACGCCGCTAGCCTTGTTGCTGAGTCTGAGTCTCTCTGTCCTCCGTCCGTCAGGGGTGAATGTGCTCTTGGCACGGACGTCCTTGAGGACAAGCAAGAGGACTTTGAATTCTTTGCAGCTACTGTACCTCATCTCGTGTCCATGCTGATTGCACCTGAGGGTGACCCGTGTGCACCAGACATCCCGACCCCACGCTTTTACGCAGAGGCGATAGAGGGTCCCTACTCCTCTCAGTGGCAGTCAGCCATTAATGCAGAGATGACATCCTTGAAGTCCACAGGCACTTACGTCGACGAGGTTACCCCCCCTTGGGCGAACATCGTTAGCAGCATGTGGATTTTCAGGGTGAAGCGGCCGCTGGGTTCTCCGCCTGCCTTCAAGGCGCGTTACGTTGCTTGAGGCTTCACTCATCGACGAGGAGTTGAATTCTTCCAGACCTTCTCGCGGACCCCGAAGATAACCACTCTTCGGGTTCTGCTGCACGTCGCTGCTCAACGTGACTACGAGCTTCACTCTCTTGACTTCAGCACTGCTTTCCTACGTTGACGACTTGGTCTTTGCCACAGCTGACACTGCTGGACTCGCCCACGTGAAGTCGGAGCTGCTGAAGAGATACACGTGCACAGACCTGGGTGAACTACGCAGCTATCTTGGCTTGCAAATCACCCGGGACAGAGCACGGCGCACCATTACCTTGACTCAATCACACATGGTGCAGCAGGTCCTTCAGCGCTTCGGCTTCACATACTCCTCCTCTGTCTACTCGCCATTTGCTCTCAGCTCTGCCTTTGGATGAGCCTGTAGAGCCGAATGGCCCGTACCCAGAGCTTGTTGGCTGCCTCAACTACCTGACCTGCACTCGACCTGACTTGGCATACCCTCTTAGCATCTTGGCACGCTATGTTGCTCCTGGGAGACACCGACCAGAGCACATGGATGCAGCTAAGAGGGTGTTGCGCTACCTGTGCTGTACGTCGGGCATGGGGCTCGTGCTTGGAGGACGTGCTTTAGTTGTCATGACTGGTCAAGCAGACGCTTCTTGGTTTGACGGCTTGGCTACGCAACGATCGTCATAGGGCTAGACCTTCAGCCTTGGCTCCGGTTCTGTTTCGTGGTGGTCAACCCACTCGTCTTCTGTTCTCAGCTCCAGTTGTGCGGCTGACATCTACGCTAGGGCCATGGCTGTACAGGAGTTACGCTGGCTCACCTACCTGCTGACCGACTTGGGAGAGGCGCCTTGTTCTCCTCCTATTCTGTACGTCGACAACAAGGCCATGATTGCCTTATGTCAGGAGCAGAGACTGGAGCACAGAACGAAGCACATTGCTCTGCACTACTTCCTTGCTCGAGAGTTGCAGCAGCGTGGCCAGCTTCGTCTTGTTTACGTGGCCTCTGAGGCCAACACTGCTGATATCTTCACCAAGGCACTTCAAGCCTTGTGATCATCAGCTTTTCTGTACTGTTCGAGGTCTTGTGCCTTTTTGGCCTCACTTTCTCACTTCTTGAATTTCCTTGTTCTGTGATTTATTTACTTATACTTGCATGCTTACACTTGCTAGGTTGTGATCACTGTACTGCTTGTTCCTCTTTATATATAACTCTACATGTGAACTTGGCTTGTGGCCATTTGCTTGTGCTCGGACTGTGTGGTGACGTTGTGATTCACCCTGAGCTTGACCTTACCTTGTTCACTTGCTTTTCCCCCACTTTGCCTATGTAGTTGTGTCACAACTATGCATTTATATGATTTAGGTTGTAGTGTGTCACTCCTTATGGGGTACAGCCCAGTTAGGTTTTGCATATACAAACCATGTACTGCTGTCATTCTAGTCATTCAAGGCTGCCCCGCATCGCCTTCGGATTTCCCTTCGCCGAACCTCCACCTAACCCAACATTGCATTCTTGAAGTTTGCTCATAGCTATGGTAGCGACTATGTTAGCACGTACCTTCATTGTATTGCCAGTTCAGTTAGTCGCAGCTTCGCATTTGTTCACCACGCAACCCTGTTTTACAACTCAAAGCACCTGGTATCAGCGGTACTTTCCTAGTTCACATTGCTTTAACGATAGTAGTTTAGACGCATGGGTTGGCTGGTACGGTGGGCTGCAGGACGATTGGTTGCAAGGTTCATGTCCGACTCTGATAGTTCTTGCTTTCCACTTGCGTGAAGGCCACGGATACCCTTCTGCGTACTCGGCGAAGCCTGCAACTCATGGACCATATGGCTTTCAATCGGCGTGTAAGAAATGGCAGACATGCTGACTACTGTGAAGGCACTAACAACGGAAGTGCAGTAGTTATGAGAATAATGCAACGAGCTACGCCAGACGTGAGGTGAAGCGCGCCATCAGCTTCCTATTGAAGAATGCGGAGGCAACAGTAAAGTGGTGAGCAACCCTCTGGACGCACTCACATGTAACTTTGGAGAAGAGGATAGACAGTGAGCAGCAGCGATGACGATTGCCGTGACAATGATCAAGATTAAACCAGCGAGCCTCCCCCCGTTCAATTCTATGGACAAAAACACTACACTGAAGATTGGCTCTTCAACGTTGAAGTCTTCCTCACTGCAACGAACGTTAACGACGATGCCACGCGGTTTCTCTTCAGCGAAGCCCAACGCTTGAATGGTGGCGCCGAACCTTGGACACGGGGACCTTGACAGGTGTGACACATGCAGCAGACGAGACCTCAACTTCGGCTTATGAAGTGGCAACATCAATCTTCAGTGTGACCAAGATTCGCATGTGGAAGGTGTGGGGTGCAACCTTGGAGGATCGTTTCGAGCACGTATCCGCCTCGGAGCAGGCTCGCATGAAGCTATGTGCCTGGTCACACCTGGCTTCTGTTCAAAACTATACCACATCATTCATGGCTCTCGCCGAGCAAGTGGACGACATGGCGGAATCGGAGCAGTTGGATCTGTCAGAACATCATAGCTTATACGTTTGTGTAGGCTGTAGTGGCCGCCCTCGTGGCCCTCTTTGAACCACCCTCGCGGCCCCTTTCCGCGGCCCCGTCGCCGCCCTTTCAGCGGCCCCGTCGCCGCCCTTTCAGCGGCCCCATCGCCGCCCTTCCGCGGCCCTGTCGCCGCCCTTCCACGGCCTCACCGCCCACCCTTGCAGCGGCCCCGTCGCCGCCCTTACGCGGCCCCGTAGCCGCCCTTCCGCGGCCCCGTCGCCCCCCTTTCAGCGGTCCCGTCGCCACCCTCTCAGCGGCCCCGTCGCCGCCCACCCTTTTAGCAGCCCCGTCGCCGCCCTTCAGCGGCCCCGTCACCGCACTTCCGTGGCCCAGTCGCCGCACTATCAGCGGCCCGTCGCCGCCCTTTCAGCGGCCCGTCGCCGCCCTTTCAGCGGCCCCGCTGCCGCCCTTCCACGGACCCATTGCCGCTCAGCCGCCCAGCGCCCGAGCCGCGGAGCAGCCCACCCACCGAGCAGCCGAGCCGCCGAGCACCCGAGCCGCCGAGCAGCCAAGCCGCCCGACTGCCGAGCCGCCCTGCACCCGAGCCGTCAGACCGCCGAGCCGCCCAGCAGCCGAGCCGCCGAGCCGTCGAGCCACACCGCAGCCGAGGCGCTGCCGCTTGTCGGCCTGCCCGCGACCGCCCCAATTGCCTGGCAAGAGCAGCGCCTCTACCACTGCACTGCCCTGCCCCACTATACTCGCTGCCTATCTACTGCTGTCATGGCCTCCCCTAGTGCTCTCACCTTTGACGCTGAGGGTCAGGCAGTTGACTTTGAGGTCTGTGTAGATGATCTGCAGCTTTTCTTACACTGCGATAGGGCAGACGGTCTCTCCCTGTTTGACCTCACTTCTGGTGCCTCTCCTGCCCCTGCTGCTGATGCTGACGCCATTGTTCGCTCACAGTGAGCCACGCATGATGCTGCTGCTCGCCTTGTTGTGCGCCGCCACTTACCGACCACTGAGCGTGCACATTTTAGCCAGTACAAGAGTGCTCAGACCTTGTACGACACTGTAGTTGCACGCTACTCTTCCCCAACCACTACTGCTCTAAACCGCCTCATGCTACCGTACCTCTTCCCTGACCTTGCTGCCTTTCCCACAGTGGCTGACCTCATAACGCACCTCTGCACTAGTGACACTTGCTACCGCGCTGCCCTTCCTGCTTAGTTCAGCGCCAAGAACCCCCCCCCCTCCCCCCCATGTACATCACCCTCTACTACATAGTCACCCAGCTCCTTGACTCTCTC